AAATTTAGATTATCAAAGCATATAGAAATTTGATTTCTGGTCTTAGAAAAAATGTGAAATCTTTTAAAATTTAAATTTAAAAAATATGCTTAACTATTAAAGCTGCTACCGTTAACGATGAATAATTAAGAAAGTAAAGAAGATCAATCAGAATCAAATTATACAGTAACTTAAGCTACAGCAAACGTTTTAAAGTTGACCTGCTTCAGCAGACGTAGTAGAGTCAGGAGAATGACTGTCATCAATTACAATGCTCTCAAAACTTTCCCGAGAATCGTCATTGCTATGCATATTATTCGATCCGATTCAGGTGAAAAGTTCAGGCCTTTCAAAAAACCACATACACATAAACATAATTTAGGTTCCAGAATTTCACTGACTTCAAACCTGATAAACGAAACTAACGATCTTGCCATAATGATCTATTACACCGATGGATTCATGACCAGACTAAAACACAAATTACAAAACCATTTTGAGTTCTATCAGTTTTTCGCTCAATCTTCTGGTCGAACTGAAACTGAAATGAATACTGAAGCTGCAAGGACCAGAAGAATTCAGCTTAAAGACAGTGAAAAACAAAAGAAATAAAAAAAAGCCAGCAAAACAACAACAGCAATAAATTTATGAACAAATTTTACATTGCTATGTCTCTTAACTACTAAATTTCTAGCATCAATTTAATTCGCCGCTGTAGTAAAAAGTCGAAACTGACTTGGTTCTCACATTAATTCGAATTCCAAATTCTGGACGTTTTTAACGGGCAATAAGTCTGATTTTAAATAGTGACACTACGCAAGAGACGCCATGGACCTCTACTTAGAAAATACTCAAAATGAAACTTTTACAGTTGATAGATGTGCAAACAAATTTTTCTGAAATAAAACTTCAAAAAAAAGAAACAATTTTTTCTTGTTGTTTTCTAGAAAAAATTCTCTCTGCTAAAAAATCTGTGGCAAAAAATTTTAACGTATCCAAAAGAAAAAAATCTAAGATACAAGCTACCATCTACTAAAGTGGCACTGGTAACCAACAACTATAAAAGTCCTAGTTGAGAAAAAAGTGAAAAAAAATTAAAGGAAGGAACGAGACGAACAGCCGAGTTTCAGCCTTCAGCCGCGTTCTACAAAAAGTTCTAGCTCTGAACAGTAACCTACCTCCAACTACCTGTCAGATATACATACTCTAACCCTGAAATGTTCAACGAAAGTTCAACTCTTGGCGGTTTGAGAGCCTCATCGAGAAAGCAACTACCTCAGTTGGCATTCCGCCAATACCGCGAATGCGCAACAGGTAAGAGAGAAAGTGAAGAAAAAAAAAAGAAATACGAGTAAGAATAAAAGGAAAAAAAAGCAGAATTAGAGCCTCTCAAACATGGAACATAAATGATCGCTGTTTTGTAGTAAGGAGATTGGAAATTAGAGCTGTAGCTAAATAAAACTTTTAATGTAAATATTGATCTCCCTTTAACAGAAACGCTGCAAGAGTTTGGATACAGAGACAGCGATGACTGAGTTCTGAAAAGCCTGTATAATGTGATTTTGATGCTCAGAACACGCTGAGAACTGTCGAAATTATTGTAAAATTCAGGATTACTGTTTTTAAATTCTTGGGCTGCTTGGAATAAAAATTAAATCATAATATGATTCACTAATTAATCATGCGGAAGAATAACAAACTGGCTTCATTATGTCCAAATCTTTTTTCATACCTTGGCTGTCTTCTCAAGTTAACAGATTTTTTAAGCGCAAATTGAAGCTAAAAAGCCACAGATATACCAAGGTCTCTCTCTAAACGTTCAAATGTATGGTTTGCTAAGGAGTAACCAAACAAAAATTACAGTCTGATGTCGAAGTAAAACTTTTATCTTAATCAAATTACAGTTGGAAAACAGTACCAAACTGACAATTCAGTAGGGTTATTATTCAACTACCTTTAGTATGTCTGATCTTTTTTCACTAATTCCTTTTCCCTTTTATACCAAGTGTTAAGTCAGAAACGTACATTTCACAGACAAATCCGCTTTTTTGCATGCACAACTCTTCTTATCAACTTTGACAAAAAAATGTCTGGAAACTTGATTAGAGATTTTCACTAACCATTTCACTCTTAACCCCACTTTTCATTAACGTCCCGACGGAAATGCACTACCACAGACACTAAACAGCAGTGCTTTTGCTCCAGCAGTAACAAATTTCGCTTAAACGTTCCTACTTATTCACTTCTGACCACATCTTATAATAAAGGTGTATCTAAAAATACCACCTTATAACGGCTTTTAAAAGTGATTTTTACAGAAAATAGTGGTCTGCCATGTTGCACCTTAATTAATATTCTTTACTAACTGATTGGTTCATAGTTAAAGTGCGTCTTCACTGTTTTCAAGACGATTGCTTGCTCAACTTCAGGCAAAAAAATGTGTTCTGAATACCAAAACTTCCATGTGGTCAAAGTCTTATATTACACTTTCAAGAAACTTAATATCAACGACTGTTGCATTAAACAAAGTACACCTCAACCAATAAAATGTCGTTTAATTCATAAAAAGTAGGTGTTTTAAAAGACGGATTTCAGAATACCAAGCTTCTGTGCTATTTTATTGGGTAAGTTGAATTAAAAATTTTTTTAAAATTGCGATGAAACTGATAAATTCTTTCAGTAGAATCAATTAAATACCCTCCTGACGATTTGTGGGTTTCAAACTGTCAAAATTTTCAATCAAGACTAAGCAAAATATTGTGATGACATTTTTAACTCAATAATAAATTGTGAACAACTACTTTTAGTAGAAAACTAAAAATCAAAATGATCACTACTTGTTCACTAGCTTATTCAACTGAACTGAGTACAGAAAAAAGTTTACTTTATCACATTATCAAGATAGTTTTAAAAAATTTGTAGCCTATCAAATCAAAAAAAGGTAACTTTATGTTGCTGTATAAACTACTTTAGTAGAGGGTAAAGAAAATGTAGAGTTTTGAAAAAAAGAAAATTATTGTGAGATCTTTTTTGGAAACGTGCGGTATACTGTAATTTTCAACTTAGCCTTTACAAATTGCCTTTCTTATTACCACTTTTGTAGCATAAGAACTTGACCATTTCAAATTACCCATTCAGACTGTTTAAAATTATTTACAGTACAGACAAAATGTTGAGCAGCTAAATGAAAAAGTAGTTTTCTTTTTACTAGCCTTACTACTCACCTAATTACTTATCATCCGAAAAGTTAGTAGAACTCATCTTCAAACTTCAGCTTTTAATTCTTGTTCTAAAGGGTAATCCTTTCTAGTTTTTCAAATTTTTCTTTTTCTTTTTCTTCTTTCTCTTCTTCTTCTTCTTCTTCTTCTTC